ACTTGAATAGGAACAACAGAGTTCAGGGTGTGGGGAGAGGATAAAATAGATGCGTCCTGCAACGAGCTGAGAGGGTGGGGTCCTTGTAAGGAAAAAAGGGCCTCTGTTTTTAAAGTAATAACGATTTTATTAATATCTATCTGTCTGTCTATTGCAAAACACCTGAGAGGGAGGATTTGATGGGTGAAACGAAGGCTGACTAACAAGCCAAGAGTTCCAGTCTTTTCTTCTGGATGCGTTTCTCCCTTGCGTGTCAGCTGCAGCCATGGAAGAAACTCCAGCAGCATCTTGTTTTTAGGAAAGACTCGCTTAGAAATAAGCCACAAACCGTCCAGCGGGCTGAACATTATTAGTGACTTATCTGTGCATTTACATAACATTGCATTATTTCTGCATGACCCAGATGTCCTCGGGATTATTGATACGGTGGCATGGAGTTTGTCTGCAGAGGAATCCTACAGGCAGCTTAAAGGCAAACTGACTTTTTATTTTATTTTTTTAACTTGCTGATTTAGACCTGACGCTGCAGGTACCTGTTCTCCGGCTGTGGCAGGAAGAAGGCACAAACGTGTTGAGGATATCTATGATCCTCTCGGTTAAAGGATCCTCTTCTCTTAGGAGGTGCCTAATGCTGCAGCGACTGAGGACATCTCTGTGTGGCTTCCATGCCTTGCCTTGGATATTGCTGTTAAGTGAAGCAATGCAGTCACCTTAAACTCTTGGCCTCAGATGTGCTGATTGGCACCTGCTTGCTATAAAGGAGCTACGCAGCCTGGGATTGCACATGAGGCAGGAGCATGCGGGCTGGGGCATGCTTTGCAGAGACGCTCTTAGGCACAGCACGAGGCAGTGGAGACAAGCCCCTGAGTGTCTTCCAAATACTCCTTGTCTTTGCTGCACCCCCTCTTACCAGTAGGGGACTGGGGTGAAAGCCCCGATTCTCAGAAGAGCTGTGAGCTCCCAGTGAGAGACAAGGGTGTGTTGTACCCTGTGTGTGTTTTTATTTTTATTTTTTATTTTTTTTGGTGCCTACGGATGTGCTATCAATCCCTAGTAGGATTTATAAGAGCTCCTAACTCCCACTGCAATGCAAACCTAGCCCTAAGTGATGTAGCCAGGCCCAGAGCCAGCAACTGAAATGTTCTCCTCTGTCCCCATCCAAATCTTTAAGCACTTAACTATCCTTCCCCTCAGAGCTTTGTCTTGCCTGCTTTTAAACGTCTCAAGTGAAGAGGAACAGTTTATTCCCGGTCTACCGTATCTCACTGTCGGAAAGCCTTGCCATTTCTTTGCTTCTTCCTGTTCCTCCTAGTTAGATCTCTTTGTTCCACCTTAAGCAATTACTCTGCAGCCTTAAGCTTAAACTCTGGTGTTTGCATCTGGGGATGTGGAAGCAGCATCTGATTTTGTTTTCAGCATCTCTGTAAGCTTTCTACAATTCTGGCAGTCAAATTTTACACCGAAGTTAATCGGCTCTACGGGGCAAGCCCATAACCCATTTGTCATCATTCAAGTGCCTTGGATTTTAAAGCAAGAGAGATGTTTTCCCTACTAGACTGTTATTCCTCCTGAGTTGGGATTGCTGCGACCTGAGGGCATTCAACACCTGGCAGGATCAGATCGATCACAGTGTTCTTTTGAAGATGCTCTCGGGAAGAGGGGGGAATTTCCTGAATACGGGGTTCAGAGCTGCCGGGTTTCCCTCCTATCTGTAGTTCAGATGCTACCATCAGCCTTGCTGTCCTTTCACAATTCCAGCCTGAGTTCTCCCTGACTATAGTTTTGGTGTACTAGGTGGTCTTTTCTTAATGCACATGCTAAGATCTAACTGCCATGCTTCCCACCGGACGTCTTCCAAGTGCATTGTAAACGTTTGGGAGCTTAAGGAGTTTGGTTTCCTTGGGTCATCTTGTTCTTTAGAGACAGTGAGTGTCTCTCTAACGTGGACTAAGCCCTAGCCTTCACGTAATGCCCCCTTTTTCCCCCAGGGGTCTGCTTTGAGTAGGCATGCCTTCCCATGCTCATTAAGGAACTTGCCGTTTTCAGCTTTCGCATGCAGTGAAAGAGCCAAGAGTTGGCTTTCAAAATACCTGGGGCATATAGGATGACAAAGGTCAACAGAGATAGATTTCAAAAGCAGAAGGGGAGCTAGGCACCTTGCTGCTATGTTTTGTTTTGGGTTTTTTTTGGTTCTCCTGACCTCCTTGGGGCCTCCGCATGGGATTTACCAACCTGTCTTCAGGATGAGTCGTATGGAAGCTAAACTCAATGGGACTTAAATGCCCCTCAGTTGGTGAGACCTGTGGGCGAGTGACTCCACCGCTTAGGCAGCAATTAGGATACGCAGAGTTTCTTAGACAACTGAAATGCCAACTGCCTTGTCTTTGCTTTGCTCAACCTGAGTTTTCTCCTTTATACATTTGTTTGCATCTTTCTGACCTGGACTATGGTAGCGGCGTGTTAAACCCTGTAGAAACATTAGGCCTTCTCCATGGCGGAGGGTCATA